ATTTCTAATTCCAAAAAGACAGCATCTGGTAAATGTCTGGGTTTCTTGCAGCAATGTCAGTTCCCACCAAAATGTGCTGTTAAGTCTGAACAAAAAACCCCACTTTAATAAATTCTCCCTAGTTATTAATGGAAAGCATATTGCTGTTAAGCCACTTATTTGGGTTATTTTAAAACAAAAGAATTTTTAAGGGAGTTTGAAGTTCTCAGAACTTAGATAACCTATTTTATACCAGAAACTTCAATTGTGTGTCAGGATGCAGGAAAGCAAGCATTTTGTTTTGTAAGATTAGGTTTGTACTGTGGGCATAGTTCTTGCTTCCACAGGGAAAAAAACTATCACTGACTTCTCCAAGAGCTATTTACCCCATATCCATGGCTTAGGGAAGATCAGTAAAGCATCAGTTAAAATATACCCAATTTTGATGTTATTTTTAATGTATGCTTGTTGGATATACAGGAACTATAGAAGAATATACACTACAGATAAATTTCTTCCCTATGATTGATCAATAAAATTTAGGAGAAGAGAATTTTGATAGGAATTAGTTTTTATCTGAATATTCTTTGGTTCAGTAGTGGTTCCAAAAAAGGAGGGCGTACATTTCTGAGTGTGCCACAACATAGATAAACACAAAATATTTATGAGCTGGCCAGAATCATTCATATTGCTTTCATAAATTTCTGAGGAATTTAAGAGCTTGTGTATCCTTGAAACTTTTGGATTTTTTTCACTATGTCAAAGCCTCACCTACCAGTAGAAGTCCACTGGAAGTACATTGGACTACACAGACTTGGTTTTACTCCAACAGTCTGGTTGGAGTGAACAGAACTTTCAGTCTCTCAGTAAATGGATGATGGGACATTGAGCAGGTTTTTTACCCCCAATTTACATTTAATGTTTTGTTTTGTTTTGTTTTTTTCCCAAAGTATTAATCTGTTCCCACAAAGTAAATATCGACTTTAAAAGCTTGTGTCAAAGGTATTTTGGGAGCAATAAGGGGCAAAAAAATTGACAAGGCAAAGATGTTGAAAAGACTGACTAATAAGTAGCTGAAATTTATTTGTAAGAACTACCTCCCTGACTTCTTGAGGTTATTTGACCTTGGATGAACACCTGTGCCCACCAAAGCCATTTTTACTTCTCTCCTCATCTGGAAAGGGGAGAGAAAATATAATGAAAGGTTCATGGATCAAGACAAGGAAAGAGGAAGATCATTCACTCATTACTGCCACAGGACAAACACTCAACTTGAGGAAAATATGTTAATTAAATACCAATAAAAACAATAGAAAAATGAGAAATAGAACTAAATGTTAGAAAACTCCTTTCTTCTTGGGCTTAACTTTAATTCTAATTCAGTATTTCCCCTCCCCCTGTGGCAAGGGGGCTTAGAAATGTAGCTTACAATTAGTTAATCACATTTTTTCTGCCACTTTTTTCTTCTTCAGGGAGAGAAGTCTCTCCCCTGCCCCAATGTGGGGCCCCTCCCATGGCCTGCAGCTCTCCATGAACTACTCTATTACAGGTCCCTTCCACAGGGTCCCTCTCCAGTGTGGGAACCCCATGGAGTCATTCAGGAACAGCCTGCTTCAGTGTGGTTCCCCCACAGGGTCTCAAGTCCTGCCAAGAAAACCTGTTCCTGCATGGGCTTCTTCCTCCACAGGGCCACTGGTCCTGCCAAGGAGCCTGCTTGGACTTCCAATTCACAGGCTCCTTCAGGCATCTTCCTGCTCTGGCATGCAATCCTCCATGGGCTGCACATGGATCTCTGCTCCACCATGGACCTCCATGGGCTGAGGGGCACAGCTGCCTCACCATGGTCTGCACCACAGGCTGCAGAAGAACATCAGCTCCAGAGCTCGAAGCACCTCCTCCCATTCCTTATTGACTGACCTTGGTGTCTGCAAGGATGTTTGCCACATATATGCTGTCTTTTCTCTGGCTACAATTTGCTTCTGAGATGTAACATTTTTTTCTTTTTATTTAAGGAAAATACTTTATCCCAGAGACACTATCACAATCACTGATGGGCTTGGCCTTGCCTAGCAATGGCTCTGTCTTGGAGCCCTTTGGTATTGTCTCCACTGGACATCAGAGAAGCTTGTGACAACTTCTCACAGAATCCACCTCTGTAGCTCCCCTGCTACTGAAACCTTGCCAAGCAAACTCAATACACTTCTTTGCCATGTTCTTTTGTTGTGGTGTCATGGCAGCTTCACATTTGTTATGCCACTACCAGAACAGGCATTTTGGAATGTATTATTTAGTTCATAACAGACTTAGTGTTACTAGCACCTTACTAGACTTTACTAATTATTCAGTAACCTCACTGACCACACATAGGGAAAAAAAAAAGGAAAAGCAGACCTTGTCAATCAAAAAAAAATGGCTAATGAACACATATCCTATGCTTGAATGGAAAAAATATTGAGTGCAAAAACAGAACACTACAGAAATAGAACACTACTATTGTCAGACGGTGCATTTATTAAACTGACTCTTGGGGGAAAAAGAATTACATACTATGAGTAAAACTACCAAAGGTATTTCCAAGTTTGTAACAGAGAAGATCTTGGTTGCATCTCTTGCTACAACTTTTCAGGATGTCATGATCAGCAGAAATGTAATGCAAACCTAGGCAAATGTCATTTGATGCTGAGCAAAATTAAGGGAAAGAATCCTGTCCATAACAGTCGTATTTCAATATGGCCCAGAAATTCTTAGAAGAAGGTTAAAAGGGAGTTTTCCTGAGAGCTTTTGGCACACTCCAAAGCCATTGGAAAGTATATTTTTAAGTTGTAAAATGGCATGTTAGAATCTGGCCCTTGCTTCTCCACTAATATTTACATATGCCTTTAAACACTTCACATTCATTACCCACAGCTGCTGTATTGTCACTTCCACATGGAACATTTCCACTTGAGCACTGGGAAGTGTGCTTACTGTGTCAGTGTCAAGTAAAGCACAAAAATCATAGAAAAAACTTACCCTTTCCTCTCCCCAGTCTGAATGTGCCCTTATTTTCACAGCAAGGAGTGCTTCCAAAATTGTTCCCAGGAGACAATTGCCATTGTGGGTGGGGGTGGCTCACATATCTGCTACCTCTGCTCCCATCACTACAGTTCCTTCCCTCCCCCTTCTCCCAGTGCAACAAAACCTTGCACTGACAACATGCCCACTCTGAGCTGCAACTCCCTGAGGAGCTGCAGGCTTCTGCCTGAAAATGCATGTCCCCTTCTCTGCCTGGCTAAGAGTCTGTGGCACCTAGCAGGGTATCTCCAGCACTGGTGCCAGGGTTTGCTGGAATTAGTTCCCATTGCATTAGGGATGTTCTATGTGCCCCCCACTGCCTGGCACAATTTTAGTCCCTACCTATTGATATGACATCTGTGACTTAAAAATGCAGCTTCTCACTGATGAAAAATCAGCGCCTGAAGCACAGAAATATAAGTATGTGTTTCAGCCTAGAGATAAAAGGTAAATAAATGCATCTGTTAAAGACAAGAAAATTTGGCTTCAATGAGGGGACCGAGTTAAAAACTAGATGAAGGTATTTTGTGATTTCACCCTATGCATGGCTGAAAGAAAAATGCTATTAGATCTCTGTTACTAAGATGTGAGGGAAATCTTACATGGTGAATGCAAAATACCTTTACATATTTCAGAAATAAGTATAACAATTTCAGTCACGGGCAGTAAAATAAACATAAGATAATGAGATGATGACAGGACATGAACTGACTATAAAGAAAAGTGAAAATTAGTGATGGCTAAGAAGAAAGCAATAATGACTTGTTATATTCACATAAATCTACACTTAGCTCTCATTTGGTTGTGGAAGCAGCCAAGTAGAATTGGATATTAAACTTATGTCAGACAGTTGAGGACAATCTGTGTGAGTTACTGAGTGGCAATCTGCTATAAGCAAATGCTGTGCTTACATAAATGACATTTAAACTAATTCTGATTTTGTAGAAGATATTAGGGGAAGGAAAAATAATCACATTTTCTTAGTGTCTTGATTGTTTGGAATAGGAAATATTGCCTGGCTCTTGCTGGGGAAGAAGTTCTCCTCAGAAGAAAAGAATACTCAATATATACCAGATTTTTCCAGTAAAGTGCTTCTGGCTGTAGTTGCAAGAGAAGGGTTCTTCTCTGAGACCTACAGCTTCACTACCAAAAGAAAATCCGTACTTTCTGTGGAAGCCAGTAAGCACATTTATAACCATGTCACCCAATTGTACTTTAGCAATATTAGGGGAAGGTAAAGGAGAAGAGCGAAGACAAGAAATTCTGCCAGGTAAAACTCTACTCCAACTAGAAGAGAACTAAACTCAAATTCCACTAAAATGTCCCACACCTAACATTTCAATACCAACCTCCAAACTGTGCACGCCTAGTAAAAATTTTATGTGTTCATTCTGCCCCTCCATACTTCCATCATTACAAAGAATTAGTAGCTCAGAACACTAGACAGAAAACATTTTGAAGCATCCAGCTGAATTAAGTTTAAGGAAAAATTAAACTACCAAAAGCATACATCAGAAATAAAAGATTCACTTCACTGCAGTATTCTAGGCGATGAATTTGTATTGACTGAGTTCAAGATGAGGACATTCTGGTCTCTGTGCTTATAAAATGTCCATGAAAGTAACTTCCATCTTTTGTGCCAAAGTTCATAACTCCAATCACAGTGAGTTTTCCAAGAGTGAAAAAGGATGTAATGCATCTTAGACTGACACTAGGTTCTCCTTCATTAGAAAGATGTATTATTCTGAAATATACACTGAAAGCTGGCTGGCCTCATTGCTTTATGCTGGCTTCCAGAATCCACTGAGCATTTTCCCAATGCTAGGCTTTTAAAAAGGTGTAGGCATAATGAGTAAGTTTTAGTAGCAGGTAAATGGACCACATTAAATGAAATTTCAAGAACTCGAGGTAATGAAACATTAAAAAAAGTGGCATATTTTAAATGCCATGGCTTTCTAAAACTGTACCTTTTGATCTGCAGCAAGCACCGTGATTCACAAGCTGCGCCCAGCCTGGGTGCTCTGGCGGTGCCGGGCCCGTGTCGGGGCTGCCCGGCCCAGCCCCAGG